TAAATCCAAAACACAGGACTATACTAGCTACTAGGAAGAAAAATAACTCTATCCCAGCTGAAAGCAGGACACGAGCCTTGGCTTAACTCTCTGTCCTGCTTCTCCCCCTTCCTGGCTCAGAGTGGTGCGGAGGAGCGGAGCCGGGGGGCAGCGGGGCAGCCCCCTTCGCCAGCACCAGCGAGAGCTCGCTGCTGCCCGCGGGGCTCATCCAGTGAGTCGAGGAGCCGCCTGGGACTTCCTTGGGCAGCGTCGCCTTACCATCTCCTCACCTCCGATTGTGCCAGGGCTGTACGTCCTGTGCCGCGCAGAGCGGTGGCGGTGACATCCCAGTGACATCTGACTAACACACTCCACGGGAGCCCCCTGCCCCTGCCCTGCCTCCTGGGATGTCTGTCGGGGCTGGGACCGTCCCCCTGTCCCACGCAGGGGAGGATGGAGCAGCACCAGCCCAAACCCACACAGGCTGCGCAGGCGGCACGAGGGGAGAGAGCACTGGTGGAGACACTGGGAGCAGGGGTTTGGCTGGTCCCGCACCAGCTTCCCAGCGCCACTGGAGCTCTGGCACCTCGCCACCTCTGCAGACCAAGGACAGGCGGTCCATGGAAGGGATTAGTGGGGCAGAATGGTTCCCGATCACCGTCATCGGGAAAAAGCCATCCCTCCTCCAGGCCTTCCCCATCCTTGAAGCTGCCATCTTTTTTAAATCAGCTGTTTTAATTCTGGAGCCTTTTCTTATTCTGGGACATACCGAACTCTGACGCAGAGCGTACTCTTGTCAAAGCAAGTTTTAATGATGCTAGCACTGCCCTCCAAGCCCAAGGGCCTGCTGCAGCTCTCAACCTCAGGCTGCTGGGAGATGAAAAACATCAGTGATTTTGCTCCTTACTGATCCCTCTTGGTTTGTGGGGTGCTTTGCCAAACGCTGCCATCGGGCAGGGCTGGGCTGTCCCCCTGTGGGTGCAGTTCCTCACCCGATTCCTGCCAGGCACCGGAGGGGACAGGCACCGTGGCACCAGCTTGTGCTTGCCTTGGTGTAAAATGAGTGCAAAAAGCAATAGTGCTGTCAGGCAGCGGGGCTGGGGGAGGCAGCGTTTGGGAGAAAGCAGTTTTCCTGAGCTGCCTTTGGCTGACGCCTCTATAAGGAGGGTATAATAAAGCAGTAATTGCAAATGACTCAGCGTGATCTCTGCCTTCCTGTGGGAAAAGCTTTTTACTTTTGTGTGGGAAGGAAAAATTAAACTCTAATTTCTGAGCGCTGCTGAGCAGACCAAGGAAAAGAAACTGAAACCAGGCTCAGGCTGCCCGGTTGCTCAGTGCCTGAAGGCACGCTCCGGCACAGGTCCTCCTGCCAAAGGATTTCGCAGGTTTTGCAGGGGCAGCAGAGGTGCCTGGGAGCCACAAAACTGCCAGGGCCGACAGGTCCTGCTGCTGGAGGCCGGAGGAGTGTTGGCTTCTGCAGCGGAGCAGCGCTGGGCAGCAAGTTCCTTGCTGCATCGCAGCAGATAAGCATTTGCAGAACTGGAAGAGCACACGTGCCCTCTCTTCCCATCCATCTATCTGTCTCTCTAGACAAGGAGCGACCAGCACAGAGACCGGACAGATTCGACCCGTTTCTCTTCATGTTGTGTGGCAGCTGACTGCAGCCCTGCGCTGCCTGAGGTCGTGCTGTGGAAGCTGCTCCGTGTGCCCAGAGAGGAGCTCAGCGAGACAGCGGCAGGAGGGGGCTCAGGTAATCCCCTGCTCGGGGATGCTGGGAGGAACAAGAGTGGGAAAAGAGAGGGGTAAGGGGGTAAAAAAGGCCGGTCATGTGTAAATAGCATGTGTATGTGAACTCGTGTGTGCGGGTGAGTGTGTGAGCACTAGTGAAGATCAGGTCAGCTTGGTCCCACTTGGATCGGGGGACGGGGTGACAGCCGCATCCCCACTTTCAACTGTTGGATCCAGCACAGTATCTTTTCTTCCAACACACTTGCCCTCCCCGCCACTGCTGGCAGGCCCTATCCTGCATCCCTGTGCCGTCCGGGGGGGCACGTGCATTCAACAGAGGGGTGAAACACCCCACGGCCACCCCCAGCGCCGACACGGCCCCGCTCCAGCAGCCCGAGGAGCCTGTTTATGACCATTTGCTGCCTGTGTTACTGCAGCAGCTCCAAGACCGGACGGCCACAAGAAGCGATCGTGGCCGGAGGGACGTTTCCCTCCAGGCAGTGGCGGGGGGGGGGGGGGGGCTTAATCCTACCCTCCAGCCCCAAAGAGAAAAAAAGAAGGGCTTTGCTGGAGATCTGGGAGCTGCTGAATCTGGGCTCAGAAGGGAGAGAAGGGGGCTGAGCTCCAGGCCCGTCCCCCCCTCCCCGGGGGCAGCCAGAGCGGGCAGCGGGCATCCAGCTGCGGGCTGGAAGTGGCCACCACGGTTCCTCCCAACCCCCTCCACAACGGGCTGGGCTGTCGGGAAGCTCTTGGTGAGGAGGTACCGGGCCGAGGTTTGGGGGTCCCGGGGAAAGCAAAGCACCCGCCCCAACTCCCACCGGCAGCGGCCCTTTGCTGCGGTGCCCGGGAGGATGCCCGGTGGCCCGGCCCGCTCTCGGGCACCGCTGCCGCCTGCAGACGCCCAGGTCCCCGGTGGCGGAGCGGGGGGGGAGGACGGACAGGGGCGGGGGGGGGCCC